AGACAATTGAGACTCCTAATAAGTTGTCGATACAGAGATGAATCAGATAGAAAGTCTCCATCATTCCGTTAATATTTAACATTCACTTTCAAAGGAGTATCAACAGGACGACCCTCTTGGAGACAAGCCAAAGCAATGAGTTCCTTAATATAGTTATGTTGATGAAGAAAAATATCTACGAGAGAAAAATGAACCTCAAGACCTGAGAAACAAGTTAAAGACCCCAAATCTTTCATATGAAAAGAACCCTGAAGATGCTCCTGTAATTGAGACATCAATTGAGTATCAAATCATGTAATGACGATAAAATCAACATAGACTAATTAAAAAAATTCTCTTGTCAGTCTTGCAAAGAAATAATGAAGAATCATACTAACTTTGAATAAAAAGAAGCTAGGAAGAGTATTGCGAAAATTTTCAAACTAGGTACGTAGAGCCTGTTTCAAACCGTATAGAGACCGTTTGAGCTAACAAATATCATGTGAGGGTGTAGAAAATAAGCTTAGAGTCATATAAATATCTTCCTAGAGGTCCCCATGCAAAAATGCATTCTTAACGTCATTTGTCATAAGAACCAGCCTTTAGATGTAACAATAGATAGAACAAACCGAACAATTTTCATCTTAGCCACGGGTGCAAAGGTCTCTTTATAATCAATCACATATTCCTGTCGATTGTCAAGAGCTACCAATCTTGTCTTATATATGTCAAGGGAACCATCAAAACGTAGCTTAAGAGAATAAACTCATTTACAACCAATGGATTTAACACCTGTTAGACATGAAACAATATCCTAAGTGTGATTGTCTTGAAGTGTCTGAAGTTCATCTTGCATAGCTTTTATCCAACAAGTCTGTTTAGCAACCTGAAAATAAGAGGTGAGAACTGTAGTATTAGTTAAAATTGCATAATAGTCATATCTATCTAGAGGACGAATGTGCCTAATTGATCATCAAAGAATCGTTGGAGCATTTGCAGGAGCAGAGTCAAGAAGGACTAGAGATGAAGGTGACAGGTGTCATGTCAAGACAAGACCAAGCTTAAACCGTTTATCAAAAGAAGAATCATCAAAGTGAGGAAGTACAACAATATCGAATGTCGAAAGATGATGCTGAAAATGTTATTCATGTTCAAAGAAAATCACATCCCGAGAGATACATCATCGATTATTAATCGAATCAAAACACACAAAACCTTTATGATTATGACTGTAACTCATAAAGACACATCAAACAAACTGGCTCCCAACTTATGACGTTCATGAGCAGGTAAATGAACAAAACAAATACAACCAAAAGTATGTAGCATATGATAATCAGAATGTTTACCAAAAATTCAATAGTAGGGAGAATAAAACTTCAATTGTTGAGATGATAAACGATTAATCAGATAAACTGCAGTTGATAAATTTTCAGTCCAAAACTTATCTGAAATAGAAGATTCTCACAACAATGTGCGCACCATATCCAACCGATGTCGATTTTTTCGTTCACTGACTCCATTATGTTGAGGTGTATAAGGATATAAACGTTGTGAAACAATACCCTTGTTAAGGAGAAATGCTTGAAACTCATGAGACATGTATTCATCATTATTGTCAGACTGTAAGATTTTAATACAAATGGATAATAGAATTTTAATGTGTCACAAATGTTTGAAACACGGTAAATACTGTTGTTTTGTAATGCAAAAAATAGATCCATGTGAACCGACTATAATTGTCAATAAATGTCACAAAATATTTATACTGAACATGTGAAATAACTGATGTAATTCCTTAAGCATCACTATGAATAATGTCAAAAAATTTATTGGTATAACTACCCAAAATAGAAAAAAATAATGTCTTACTTTTATCAGTTTACAAGAAAAACAGTCAACTAATAATTTTTTATCTGCATAACCAAAAACACCACTTTGCAATAAATGATTCGCACAACATTATTTGGATGACCTAATCGTCTTGCCAGACGCCAGCATTATTTTCAACAACTGAATAAGCTAATGAAAAATTCCGAGGAACAGTAAATTGTAATGGAAATAATCTCCTTCCCCGATACCTGATCCCGCACAATACAACAATCACGAGAAAAGTGTACATCATAATTATTATCCATCATTTGACCAACAAAAAGTAAGTTAATAGATAATTTAGGAGAAACCAAGACATGTCGAAAGGAGGAGCTGATATCACCAACTATCGTAATTGGAATATTACTTTCATCAGTAATCTAAAAATGTTGAGTGCTAGTATACGAGAGTTGTGCAATAAATTAGATGTGTCCGTCATATGATTTTTGGTGTCAGACTAACCAAGGTGAAGGAACAGAAGTAATAGTATTACCTTTCCCTTGAAGACCAGAGCAGAAAAAACAAAGAGAATCATCTATTGAACCATATCTGGTGTGAGAACATGTTGATTATTGCTAGCAACTGTGGATCAAACCAAGATTGTGAGAATAGGATACCGCAGCATGAAGGGCTTGTGATTTGTGGTTTTGAAGCCATGTATGACACTTCTTAATAATGTCTATTGCTTGCAATAATTACAGAACTTCTTACTACAATGGGACAATATGACCAATTTTTTTTGTAGTTCTAACACTGCATTTTTTTCCTTCCCTCGGGTCTGCGCAGCATATGCAACATTAACTATTTCAGATGATCCTCCTGCTGCACCGATAGTGGTTTGTGTCGCTAATCTTTGTTCATCACGCAGTACCAAAACATGCATCCAAACAAGAAAGCAAATCTCTATTCAGCAACTCAGCCCGAGTAGTTTCAAATTCAGGTCTGAGCTTCATCAAAAACTGATCACGATGACTCACTTCATGAACAACCTAAACGCTAACTAAACTCTCCTTTGACACCTTAACATAGATAACACCAAAATATTCGCTCCATAAATTAAGAAAGCTAGAATAATATTGTTGAAACGAGAGATTACTTTGACTATAATTACTTATATCAAGTTTCAATTGAAAGCGTTTGACAATATTATCTTGATTGTAGACGCATTTCAAATATTTTGACATTTCTTTAGCTATGTCAAATGATTGTAAATTATTTACCATATGGACCTCAATAGATCCCAAAATGCAATAAACAATCCAAGCATCATTTGCCTCTTACTGACCAAGCTCTTTCGACTCTGTGGTTGCTGAAGAAGAACCATCATATAACCCCAAAGCTTCTTCCCTTTCAAAAATATCTTAGACTGAAATTCTCATGCTGCATAATTTTTTTCCGTAAATCTGATAGCTAAGATTTAAGGGGTTTTCTCAGATGACATTCTGAGCAGAATTGTAACTCACAAGTTAATTATCAAGAAAGTTGTTGTTCAAAATTAATCAACCTAAAACCAAAGAAAACCAAGAACCCACAATGCACTGAGAAAGCTTTTACGCAAAGGATCACCGCGCATCGAGATCTGAAACTCCTTCGTGACGGACCATGTGATACAATCGCCCTCCAAGCTTGATGGGAAAGAGACGACGAGATCCTAGAGGGTCAAAGCTGGTTGTTCTGCAGCATCGAGCCACGATCGAAGAGGAGGAAGAGAAGTCGAAGCCTCTGTGTGCGCTGCCCAAGTTGAGTTCGCTGAGACCGAAGGAGAAGAACCAGGTGCACGCAAAGGAAGTAGAGAGCCGAACTTCTACGTGCGCTGCTTTGTTGGGTTTTACCAAGCAGCGAAGGAGAAGACGTCATCTATGTTCTTTGTACAAAGGAAGAAGAAGGCGATGGATCACGACCAATAGAAACCTGAGAGCTCTAATACCATAACAACTTTTGAGAAAATTAGCTCAAAACCTTTTTCCTTTGCTTTCATTCCAATAAATAAAAATCTGAACAATCTATTTTAGGTAATCTAATACATATTCCTAATCAAAATATATTCAGTTATAATGAAAGAATATGTACAATTAACAAGAGAGGTAAATCAGACGAGAAAAATTGGAAGCAATTTAAATCAGTTAGCTCCTCATTATAGAAAACTCCTAATTTAAATAAGGAAGCTCTTAATTCTAGCCACTTGATTTATGTCATTCTTGATTGATGGTTATATGATATCAATGTCATCACGTGACCAAAAAATTGTTAATATGCATATTACTACATGTTTATGATCACAAAGTACTGATCATAAACTTTGTTAAGCTTTGTTTCACAATGTTTCAATTCACCATCACTCGTTAGTCAAATAAAAACATTATTGAGTGATTTAAGGTAATTGAATCTACATAAAACAATAAAAAATAGTAGGAATCATAGTTTGCTTGAATGTTTTAATTTATTTTTATTTCTTTGCTTTTAACCATTATATAGGGTTGTTGGTTCTAATTCTTGTTTTAAAATTTTTTAAACAAAAAAAGAAGGTTATCCCCCTTCCAAAAGTGAAATGGGTGGAAATTCATTAACATTTTTGTGGGAATTACTTCAAATTTCATGTAACTAATAAATCCAAATATATGGATGTGCTCTCATAAGAGGAAAAATAAGGCTGGTTGAGGAAATATAGATGTTTTAGTCGCATCAACTTAACAAATACGACAAAATATATCTTTCTTCTATCCATTTTTAATTGTTCATAGTTTCTAATTGCCTTTAATCTTGATAAAAAGAAAGTTTTATCTTTTCACCCAATCGCGTGACATCCAAATGTAGAAAGAGCCTCAAAAATACTTTGAGAGTAACAACCGTGAATATCAAATGAAAGGATGTTCCCTGCAATAAGGGCATAGATTAATCTCAGCTTCTCATATTTTCATGGCTTTATTGATATCCTCGTGAAAGTATCACCATTTATTTTTAGATGATTCTCATGCGCAGGTTTTTTTGAATATTTTCAAATAAGAAATCCAGATTTAGTTACTAGTAATTATATCTATATTTACCAAGTTAACACAACGAATACTTTTATGTTTCACCTTTCACAAAAACTAATTTGGTTAGAAATTCTAACTGTTCAAAACTAACTCATGAAAGAAACAAAGACTAACCATTCCAAACGCTCTGATCTCTCGGATCATCACGATAAACTGGTGTTGCAGACCAGACAAAAAGCCCACCAGGCCTAAGTATTCGATTAAGCTCTATTAATGGCTTTCCACCTATTATTGAAAATAATGTTTGGTTAGAGGGATATGAAGGGAAATCTTATAAGCAATTATAATTTATTGGAAAGGTTATACATACCATCTCCATCCCAATGCACCCTACACCGAGCACAATGAATTAGATCAAATGCATTATCAGAGAAAGTCAATTTTTGGGTCCCAATAACTGACAAAACGGCTGGAATTCCTCGCTCAAGAGCAAATTGTATCTGAGCCTCATGCTCATCCTTTGGTGCAAAAGACATAGTGATGACATTTTTATCCAATAAGTACCCACCAAAGCTTGCAACACCACAACCAACATCAAGCACAACCCTTGTATGTCTACCCCACTCAATAGCAGGCAAAGCCTAGGTCATCCAACAAGTAAGAAAATAATAAGTTGTCACCTATACAAAAACAAATAGTGCTGCCTGTTTTTTAGCATAGATAAAAAAATGGAAATTATATGAGAAACCAGTATGGCTACCAGGCACAAATTTAAAAAACAAACAGTGTCTAAGAATTGGGTCGTAGCAACGACAGAGAAAATAATAAAATTAAACAGTGAAATCAAGAAGAATATTCATACAAAATTATCAAAGCTTTTTCTAGAAAAGACATCAAAAAAGTGAACTTGATAACGAAATACACATTTAGATAAATACACCACAATTCCTTAAACATTTTTTTTCCCATTTAATACGTGTAAAAAGCATTCTGACTACTGATATTCATTTTCAACTAGGTAAGAACATTTCTTTCCCAAACATATTAGGACATACATGCTATTTCCGTACTCTGAGGAGAGATCTTGTGCCATGTAAGATAAACTTGAAAAGTAACGGCAGTTTGCAAAACCAAAATATCTGAAAAAAAATCCATAGCATGCAAAGGATCTAAATAAGCTTAATAGGTAGATGAAAATGTAACAGAACTGTAGCAGTCATAATCTAGAAAATCACTTTGATGTATATGATTTCACATGCTCTTCTATAAGAATTTCTCTGCATACCCGCTCAATAAACTGAATATAGCTGTTTACTCCATCTTTAAACTGAGTTCCACCGCCAGGAAAAAGAAGATAGTCTCCAGATTTTCGGACCCAATTCTGGTCCTTCTTGTACTCAACCAGCTTAGGGTGAGGAACATTGTCATACCATATCTGGAAACAAAATAATCAACTTAAAATCAAGCAAAAATTAAGCAATCATTGGATTATAAAATTACCAGACTTAGATAACCAATAGATAAAAAAGTAGAGGTATTTAGCTTACAGAATAAACTAGTAGATGATCACGCTAACAAATGAATTCGAATATTACTCGTAAATTCAGCAAAAAGTTCATTCTTGCATTTAGCTTAGCTTCAAGAATGCTATTGTAATTGTTAGCGGCATAGCTGAATTATCGGGCGGGGGGTGAATTAATCAAAAGTCTAATTCCTTAAGGCACGATGAATGGCGATTTGTCATCTTCATTAACGCTAAACGCAAATTATGCTAACATATAAGTACAGACGGGGCGTGACCATAACATAAAAGGAAACGCATCATGTTTTAATTTCTTACCGAACCCTCAATCTCACCATATCTCTGCTCTTCGGCCAAGGCACCGGTACTCTGTAACCGAGAGGAAGGGGGGCGAGGCATCTCGGGCTTGGCATTGGGCAATGGCGCTCCCGGTGCTCCATACGCCTTCTCGACTTCAAAGCCTTTATCGCTTTCATGTTATCTAAGCAAGGAATGTTATCCACCGCCTTGTAATCCTTCCCATTCCCGCAGATCTCCCAGTGGAAATCAAGCTCCGCGGTGAATTCTTCGCCATCTTCACGATTCCCGTTCTCTTCACCTGTTTCGCCCGGCATCAGCGCGTCATCGCCTGCGTAGGAGGCGGAGGAATCCCGAGGGTTTGGAGTGGAATGAACTATGAGCTGGGATTGAGGAGGTAAAGGACTGGAATGAAAGGATTTATGATCAGAGGAAAGGAAGTAGAAAGAGGAGAATCGATTGAAGGTGTCGGTGGTGAAGAAGACAATGATGAGGAAGGAGGTGAGGAGGAAAGCAATGGTTAGGAGGAAGGGATTCCGTCCCTCGATCAATAATAGGCTTCGAGTCGTCGCCATTAAAGGAGAGAGATGGAGCAGTTCTCTCTTTTATTCTCTGGATTATGTGATTATTGATTAATGTCTACAGGTTTACAATTGTTTAGCTGCTTAAATTATTAGTTAAATTATTAAGATTACTTTAATTTCTATTATTGTAAATATATTAATACTTAATTAACTATTAACTAAGTATATAATTTTTTATTAAAAGTTTATGACGCTGATTTTAAAATAACGGTACTTAATATTCATTAATTAATTATTAATTAGACATTATTAAATTATTAAATTAATTAAATTTTATTTAACTAAACAACTTCATACATAAATATTTTTTAAAATTTCATCAAATAATCATAAATTAATTATCTATCAAAATTATATTAATTATGTACTGATTAATTAATGTTAGAATTGATTTAACAATTTAAGATAACAATATATTAATTGATCATTAATTAAGAATCAATTAAATGAATTATTAAAGCTATCTTCCCCTTCCCTCCGCCCCTCTGAAACCCTTATAGACAGGGAAAAAATTTGGGTATGTAAGACGTACGCAGCGCTGTGTATGATAGTCAATTTGAGAAGGTCACGTATGCATCGGCGGCCCCACCTCTTTTAAATTATAAAATAAATAAGTGTTTTGTCACGCGTGACCCGTCGTCGGCCCGCTACTGTAACTCGATTGTAACTGCATTGTATCCTTGCTATACCTCCTGCGATCGACCTCCAGCAACGCACGTGTAATCCCTTTGTAACCCATGTGTAACCTTTCCTAATCAGGCATGTGTATCATGTGTATAACCTGAGTGTAACTTCCTTACAACATCATCGTCGCGAAATCGATAATGTACCATTCGTGTAACTCGATTGTAACTTTGATGTAACAAACTCTTAAGCTCGTCGATCTGAAACCACTCATGTAATTTTCATGTAACCCCTTGTAACCCTCGTGTAACCCCTTATAACCCATTAACCCATGGTAAAAATTAAAAACCAACACGAAATCATTTTCGAAAAACAGGGATTCGCTCACAGCTAGGGTTCTCTTCATCGTCTTCCTTTTCAAGGTTAGGGTTTAGTGTTTCAGATTACTTTTGTGAGAGAAGAGTAAAATGGAAGATAAGGAGGCGACTACAAAGACCGAGTTCGAAGAGGCCAATGTTGCGGATTTGGGAGAGGCAACGCAAATGGTGAAGGGCGGTCGTCAACAGTCCAAGGAGGAGGACAGTGAATCTATTAAGCACCCTCAAATCGTTTCTAGATACTATTTAGATTATGCTTTCCAATCCATGAAGCTTGGTTAATTGTGTTATCATGTGGTTATCAAAAACTTAATGAATAGATTACATTCGACTTTTAATACATTATAAACTCCTTATCGAAAAGAACAACAGAGATCATCATGCTTACATATTCATCAACAGAGATCATCATTTAGGAAAGCTTGGTTATTGGTGTTAAATTATTTTTAAATGAAGACCTTTTGTCGTCATTCGGATTTATATTTGATATTAAACTACTTTGTTGTATTCTTATAGGTTTCTGAACGCAAAAGCAATGAATTGTAGATGTCGTCCATCTGCAATACGAGAAGTTTTCGATAAGGTCCGACCAACAGTCGACGAGGACGCATGGAATAAATTAGAAGCCATGAGTTTGGCTCAATTTTTTAAACTCCCTCCGTACCCTCATGATCATATTCTGATGATGCATATAATGAACTGTTGGGACATTGATTGAATGACATTCAACTTGGAAAGGAAAGAGCTCAAATTTGATTCAGATGAAGTTGTACTCTTGATAGACATGCCCAATAGAGGGTTTCCCGCATGCTGGAGCAATGCTCCACCTAGTAGTATGGATGCGAGATAAATAAAGACCACACTACTCGACTTTTCACTTTGGGAGTCCTCTCATAATCTTTTGCAATTATTAATCCAATTTTTAATATCAAATTTTCTTTTTCCTTCTAACAACTTTAGTGTGTCGAAAGAATTGTCTTCTATTTGCGAGAATATAGAAACTTTTACAACATATAATTGGCCAGGTATGTGGACTTATGACCAAGCAACTGAATGTCTGTGCCACAAAAATAAGGAAGGATCAGCCACTGGGATACATTACTGGGGGGTGAGAATTTTAGGTCTTTTCTTTAGTGACTAGGATCTAGCCTTAGGACTTTCATAATGACTATCTTAGCATCTTAGAAATGGTACTCACATTCTCTTTAAACATTTCAACTAAATCTCTATTCTCTATGTTGGTTCTAAATGTGATCAATAATCTTTAATACAAATATTAGAGATTACATAAGAGAACCCTGATAAGAATTCCTATAGGACCTATGAACCATAGGAAAGTCTTGCACTGTTCTACACTTTTTGAACTTGAATATAATAACCTACATGATCATCATAAACATTGCATTTTCATATCACAATGTTGCAATCATTACACCCATGGGGCTGGCCAAAATTATTTGAGACCAGTTTACCCTAAAATACCCCACTTGAATATTCTAATTCTTCAAAAATCTCCAAAACTGCCATTGAATCACAAATCCACTTCAAACCATTTGATATTATCCTTTAAACCATTTAAAACCCAAAAATTGCAAAAATATCCAATTTTCCCAAAAATTACCAAAATACCCCTGGATCCCTAAAATACCCAATTTCTCAAAATTTCATAGAGTCACCAATAAATCCTAAAAAAGACACCAAATCATTCCTTATGTCTTCCCGAGAATTTTGATTGTAAATTTGTTATACTTCCAGATAACTTTTTGGCACCTCAACACCAAATTAACTAATAATTAAAAATAGTTTGTGGATCATAAATCTTCCACATTGATCGAAAACGACCCCAGACACTGTTGTTTGACTCCAAATTTTTTCCTAAACCACCTAAAGCATTTCAATCAACATTTTGACCACATTGACCAAAGTTAGCCAAAATTACCAAAATGCCACTCATGGCCCAAAAATTCTCAAATCCTCCAAAATCATTTCAAACACCCCCTAAAATTAATTCTTGACCATCCATTTGTCGAATTTGACCAAATTCTCTCGCTTTGACCAAAATCGTCAAATTGAGTTTCATGACCAATCAAATACCTCAATTTCAAATTCAACATGTCTAGATCTAATTTCAAATGAATCCAAATCCATTTAATTGCCATATGATAAATTTCCAAAACGATCGATCGTTAACTAAAACTTTGACGAAAATTAAATTTGGCGCATTTTTTAGTTGATCATCGGAAGGTCACCCGAATGACTCTGGATGATGAAACAGACTGCCTGATCGCGTCCAGAACGTCAATTTTACTAAAGGGGGGTTCATTTCGTCATGATGTCACGTCTGGACGAATAATACGTAAATGATAATAAAAATAATAATTATTATTATAATATAACATTAAAAATATAATAATAATAAAAATGTTCTATCCTTGCATGCGCCAATCCTTCCTATCATATATATATATCATATTAGACTCCCATACAACTAATCTCTCTCTCTCTCTCTGTGCTGAAAGATAAAAATAATTAAAAAAATTAATAAAAACAATCTCTCTCCCCCTATATAACACTCATTTTTAAGCAACCTGCCCCACTCTTTTCTCCTTGACGTTACACAACAACAGCTCCCCATCTCCTCCATTGTCGGAAACTGCCAACGTCACCAAAAAATCCGAAGCCAAGCCAATTTTCCATAGAGTCTCTCAAACCTTTTGCATTCTTAATGAAATTTGTAGCGTTGACCTAAACAACCCAACCCACGCCACCGCCGCCGGAAAAGCCCTTTAAAGCTCACAGTCACCTTTCAATTTTGCACAAAAAACTCTTCTGAAACTCGGCCAAATTGTTATATTAGCCTTCTTAGGTCCTTAGGAAGCTAGATCGATTATTTTCCATCATTTTGGAGATTGCTAACGCCTTTTCCAAGCGAGATCAAGTCAACTCCGGCGAACCTCTGACTCGAAGTGGAAACGACGTCAAATCGACGTCATGAGGAGTTCTCAAGAAGGTTTACTTATTTAAACCTAATTGAGGACAAACTTTTTAGGCTCAGGTATATTTCTTAATTTGAAATGATGATCCAGAACTTTCCTCCCTTCTAGATCAAAAAATAGATCATAAAACATCTAAGTATCCATATGAATGTGATATACTATTCGAGTTAAACAAAACGAGCCCAAGAATACGAAATTTGGTAGGGAACCAGCGGAGAACGGACTCCGGGAAGTTCCAGCAGTTGAAACCATCGTGTTCGCGTACAACATCGCGTAAGGGAGACGAAGGCGTAACATATTTTCATATTATTATTATTATTATTATTTTAATTCAAGAAAATTGGATTTAATTTCAAAATTACATAACTTTTTATATGAAACTCAAAAAAATAAACTGAAAGATGCTATAAACTCAGGGAAATGAGAAGATTTTTTTTTATTTTAAAATCATGATTTTTTACAAGTAAATATTTTTAAATTAATTTTTGATGTTCTGGGGTATTTAAATCATAAAAATTAAAATATAAATGAGAAAAATATGAAATTTGGTAGAGATATTAAATGGTTTTTGGGAAAGCTTCTCTGATTTTTCAAGCCATCTTAATGTCTCTATATTTGTATTTTATTTTTGAATAAAACGACATTTATGTAAATTAAAAATTAAAAAAATATAAAAATTATAAAAACTCTTTATAATTGAACATTTGACCATAAACATTATAAAAACTCTTTATAATTATAAAAACTTTATAATTGAACATTTGAAAATTATAAAAACTCTTTATAATTGAACATTGTTAGTTAACCTAAACCTATAAGATCAGTTAATCTAAACCTTAGATTAGTTAACTCTTAACAAATAAGATTAGATAACCTAAGCCTTAGTTTAGTTAACCCTAAACCAATAGGATAGTTAAGTTAACCCTAAACCAATATGATTAGTTAACCTAAGTCTCATGTTAATTAACACTAAACCAATAGGATTAGTTAACCTAAACCTTTGGTTAGTTAACCTAAACC